CGCGGTGCTGTGCAGCCTGCTGTGGGTGACCCTGCTTGGGCAGGGGGTTGGGCTGGGAGACCCACAGAGGACCCTGCCAACCCCTGCCATGCTGGGATTCTGTGACTCACTGCGACTTGGTGGTTCAACTTGTGTTTCCAGAGTTTACCTCCACGTAACACCTTCAGAGCACCGCATGCAGTAACACTGTAAAGAACACCAACCCCCAAACCGCTCTCTCTTTCGCCGCTGTTTGCTTTAAGCTGCGTTCCCCCATTTTTATCCTTTCTGTTCTTTCCCAAGGGGTCCTGCTCACTTTCCAGTCGCTTCTAGACCGCTCTGGACGATGCTCTCGGGCAGCTGGTTGCTCTGGGAGCTGAAAGTGCGTTAGGAAGTCTACTGGTTTGTACTGTCCTGTTTTAAACTGGACAGCAGAGGATTCAGCCGAGCAGAGGCCCGGTTTGTGATCCTGGCTCCGGATCTGGTTTCAGTGACCTGGCGAAGGGCAGATGGGCTCTTCTTCTACTACTCTTCAGGAGCAGTCCGAAGACGGACTACTCTTAACACGCCTTACTGAAGCCATTTTACTTTGAATACGAGTATTTCACACTTACATGGACGCTAAATGAAGTTTTCAGGTAAAATGTGAATTAAAATAAAAAGGGAAGCCAGCTTTCTCCCACCCTGGAGGAGCAGGGGACCGGATCCCTTGCTGACCCTCAGAGGCTCTGAACATCACCCTCCCACTGTACTGTTGTGAAGATTCGATTTGAATGATCAACAGCTAATTTCAATACGTCATTAGAAAGACAAAATGCAACGGCCCAGCCCAGAAACAAAAATCTGTTCTCAACAGAGCCAGGTGCCGACCCCACACACAATTAACAATTAATTAACCCCAAAATAAGCCAGTGCTTTTTCCACTGGTGAACTGAAACCCCAATTACACGCAACCAGCGTTATTGTGGGATGGTACAACAGTCTGATGAGGATGCAAGTCTAAGTCCATGAGTACTGCTACAAGAGAGGGCCTTCTTTTGTTCCACGTAAGCAAAAAAAGCTAAGAAACAGATTTTACCCAGTATGTTCAGTGGAGAGGGGCTTTTCACAAGGGTGTGCAGTGACAGGACAAGGGGGAACGGCTCTAAACTAAAAGAGGGCAGATTTAGATGAGATATTAGGAAGAAATTCTTCCCCGTGAGGGTGGTGAAACCCTGGCCCAGGCTGCCCAGAGAAGCTGTGGCTGCCCCCTCCCTGGCAGGGGTC